TCTCTCTCTCTCTTCTCTCTTTCATCGTCTTTCTTCCTTCATCGTTCCTCCTTTCCCTTCTTCTTCTATATTCTCATCATTCTTGTCTTTTCTATCTCTTCTTCTTCTTCATTTCTCCTCCTCCTCCATCTACACCTACACCCCGTCCTCCTCCTCTTCCTCCTCCTCCTAAAGGCGTGAGACCGAAACCGGGAATTCCCGTAAAACTACTTTATGTACAACTGAACATAAAATACCCTTTGGCGCAGTCGGCACTCCGCAGTGAATATACAATGTCGAAGCAAATGATGGCGATAGCAACAAAAGGACTGAATTTAACTTAAATTGGGCTTTCTTCTTACACATTTGATCTTAATGAAAATACAATAGTGCAACATTACGTTTCAAGTTATAAGTACTGGCAAAGTTTCATATTTTTCAATTCTGTAGTTTATTAGAATATACTGTTCGCAAAATTTGGCCTTAGCTCGATTAGTAGTACTAGACACAGACCCGTTCTACGAACGGTGATATAGTGATAGGAAAGCCGAAGACTAAATGCTTTTACCGGTACTTGATTCATTGCCGTAGGACCTCTGTGGAGACAACATTGCTGGTATATGCGCCATCTTGAACTCCGTCCTGGGCAGCAGGTCTGTTTGCATGTATCCTAATAGAGTCACTGCACCCAACACGATTATTTGCGACATATAATTTAACAGGTGCCAAAAAAAGTTTTCTGTAAAGCCCCTAAGATCCTTTAATAAGTCTGGGCCCGCCCTTAAAAGGCAGAAGGGGCAAAAGCTCGTGAAACCCGCAATTGTTTTTGTCGAAAATGGAAGAGCCAGGTTTTGAAAGAAACCCCCCCCCCCCCCCCCCCCCCCCTTATTCGACATTCGAAGCATTATGAACGATGGTGTGACGTCATCGTTCGCATTGCAAGCGTGCCGTCGCGCTCTCTGTGAATAGCACTGGGAATAATAGTGAATAGTGAAAGGTGAATAGTGAATGAAATGAATGGACTTATATAAACATATATTATATAAAAGCAATTTTTAAAAAAATATATGCACCCTCACTCGATATTTCAATAATACACGAATAATAACCCCATGCATCGAAACGTCAATACAGCTTCATTTCCTCAAAATCGCACATCACTAGTGAACGGTTGAGCATGTAAGAGCACTGATAAACGAAGAAAAGGAAGAGGGAGAATTTCCGAAAGACAAAAAGCGGGCGCGAGGGAGATTGAAAAATAAAGTGAAAAAATATATATGGTACAAAAAAAATTGATTTAAAAGTTTAAGAGGGAGTAAAAAGTCTTAACGCGTTGCGCTATTCAGAAGACTAGTGTTCCTCCATGTAGTTGTGTTGTTCTTTCACTCAATCACACTGAATCGCCCCAGACATTTTCAGATTTCTGATAATATGAGTTCGTTCCGTTCACTGTTTGCGAGAAGCAAGCCTCATCAATACATCGTGAAGGGCGGAGCGGCCTTAATGATGGGGGGCGGAAATGTGGCTTCTGTGGGGATGACAGGAGTTGGAGACACAGAGAGAGAGAGAGAGAGCTAGAGAGAGAGAGAGAGAGAGAGAGAGAGAGAGAGAGAGAGAGAGAGAGAGAAGGGGGAGGAGACAGACAGACAGACAGACAGACAGACAGACAGACAGACAGACAGACAGACAGACAGACAGACAGACAGACAGACAGTCAGACAGACAGACAGACAGACAGACAGACAGAAAGAAAGAAAGACATAGACAGACAGACAGAGACAGATCAAGAAGGAAATGAGTATTAGAAACTGATTTTTGTAAATATAAAAGTGTTTCTACAACCCCCAAGGACATAAATTAGATTATTTAGGAGGCCAGCTTCCGACCCTGTATGTCTGGGCCAACCCGGGTTGATAGGGATACAATATCCCTGTAGAAAGACCGAGATACTCAATAAGCGGTCTTCCCATCTCGAGAATAGAACTTGGGCCTCCTTTGTAAGACAGCAAGACAGTTAACAGCTACACCACATGTGCTGGTTTAGAAAGAGTGGGCTG